GGTTACGATGCCATATTTAAACAGAAGCCAACGACACCGTTTGACACAGGATCTCGTTTTCCAAGCCCGTACCGGATTGGGGAGCCCAGGGGGAGAGCAGCACGATGCGCAGCGTCCGTCGGACTACTCCCGTCCTCCGCTTTCCCCAGGCTCTCCCCCACGCGGCCGTCGGCCCAGAGATGTCGGAAGCCGCCGACCGAACGGCCCGCGCCGCCCCCAGCGCGTCCATGCGCGCACCGCTCCTTCCCCGGCGGGGCGCAAAAAGCGCGCAGCCACCGCACGCGTGCTCGCCTCACTTCTCCCCCGCCCGGCTTCCTACAAGCGCTTTACAAACCGCTCCCTCCAACAAAAACGAAAGGAAGGCAACAAAAGCAGGCGCCGCACGCCCCAGGTACGTTTCGCTTCGCCCCAGCGCACCGCGTAACGGGGCTGCAAGCAGCGCCCGGCAGATCCCACAGCCCCCCAACGCGGGCCAGACGCACCACCACCAGCGCTGCGTTCCCTCCGCACTCACCGCGCCGAGCGGCCTTTCCCGTTGCCGGGCGGCTCCCCAAGCCTCTCCGGGCGGCGATACCGCGAGGTGGGAGCGCGGCCCCCGCCCGTACACCGGAGCCCCCCGGTATGGTGAGGCCGGGCCGGGAGCGGAGCCGCCGCGCACGCCGCCGCACGCCGCTCTTATAGCAACCCGCCAATTAAGGACGGCCAATCAGCGGGCGGCGGCCACGTGACGGGGCAGTTCCAATTACCGCGGAGAATTTTTCTGAATTAGCGGGGTTACACAAAGGACACTCATTGAGGGGGAAGGAAAAAAGGGCAGCAAGCGCGAGCGGGAACGCCCAGCCGGAGCCTGCTGGTGATTTAAAGCAGGAAACTCCCTCGCCTCACACAGACACGGCCGCATTCAGGACCAGCCAGCATCTAAATAGGAGGAATGTCTGGCACACATTACGCTAATCCGCGCGCTGCGAGCCGCGTCCTGCAGCCATCGGCGCTCTCTGCCCCCGCCGAGGAGCTCGTTGAGGGGGGAGGGGGGGGGAATGAAAAGAGGCACCTTCGGCCGGGAGAGCCCCTCTTGGTTACGTAGAGTAATTGTTATTAAATATGTAAGCTGGAATTACTTTCAAAGCAAAGGCTAGAGCGGCGCTGCTTTGAAAAACTTTGTATCATACAGTGTGCAAATCAGTAAAATAAATAAAAAAATAAAATAAAATAAAAAAATTATTTCAATGCCTCATTCAATGCGTTAAATAATCAACGCTAGCTCTCCGTGCCAGGAAGGAATCAGCCTGCTTAAAAAGCAAGGAATGTGCTGCCGTGCTACCGACCGCTTTCCATTTTTATTTTGCAGAATCGCTCCCAAAAAGAGATGAATGGCACACAAGGAACGGCTTCTGTCTTACATGCAATACTAAAACCCTCACCTTGCCTACATGCCCCTACTGCACGCAGGTGAGCGCTGAGCTTCAGCTCTCTTTTTGCACCTTGAAGACACACACGTAGCCATGCATGGCAGCAGGAAACACCATGAGGCAGAACCGGAAGGACTGTGGGGCTGAATGCCACAGCCACGCCAATCCCAACTTCTGAGCAGGAAAAGTGTGCCATGGCAAAGCACTGAAGATGATTCAAATCGCCTCTCCCCCACCCTCCGGTGCCACGGAACAACAGCCCTCTTTAGCCAGGGGAGCGGGACCATGTGGAGGGATGACTCAAAGCTCTGGGGTAGGGAAAAAACCCACAGAGCAGAGCACACAGCACCCCATCCCATCCACCCCCCCAAAAAAAAGGCACACCGCCTCACATTATATTAATTAAACACACAACAACTGTCTTGAGGTAATAAACACGACAAAGGCAAAGCCATCTCGTCCTACCGCAAGATAAGTTTACTGAGGTCAAACCCAAGGGAAAACTAATCTAACCACATTTTCAAATTGTTTGGAATATTCCATAGCCCAACAAAACCATAAAATGACAAAAACATCCCATCCTAGAATAGCACAGGGATAACAAAGAATGTTTTGTTTAATTAAAGGCAGATGACCTAATAAAAAATTTCACACTCACAGTGCGCATATAAATCTTTGTCTTGGTTTTACATCTATCACATTTTTTTTTAAGAAAACAATCCTATGTTTATTTCCTTTAGATGATATATTTTGGCTTTGAGTGAAGTTATTTCATTAAATATGTCAGAATACTTTAAAACTGTAGTCTTTATCTTGCCATGAGCTTCAAGCAGGTATGCAACTTTAAATTACAAGTAGCCAGACCAACTTATCAACAGTTACATCTTCCATCTTCTACAGGGATAGTGAATAAATGTCTCAAAATGGCCATGGGTTCCTGTTAATATTAAAATTTGAAATGAACCGTCCTTTCTTTCCAGAAGTTTAACTATAGACAACTGAATTAAAGAAGAAATCTAGGACAACAGGTATAGCTGAAGAACTTAGGGACTAATACCTCTCTTTTTTTCTGACCCTGCTGTCATCTCAAAGAGCTGCAGCTTTTCCTCAGCTCCTGAAGTTGAGAGGTTGCTCCTGAAGTTGCTTCTCATGGTTTGGAACTTCATTCTATGTTTCTATCCTAACCTTAGTTCGGGCCAGCTGTTGACACAACATGAAACGATCACCATCGTCTCTCTTTGCTTCAAGTCATGTTTCCCTTGTCTTGTTCTATACTTTCAGTCTTCCATTCTCCAACTTGGTAGAAAACAGACATGTATCTGCAGTTGTCCCTGATAAGTTACATAAGCCTAATGATTTTATCACACTTCGTTTGAGTTCTTCCCAAAGCACTTAGTATGAGGTTCTTCACAACAATATTTTAGATTAAAACAATCAAATTATTTCACTATTCTTTTTGAATGGAAACCGTGACTCAGATGAGCCAAACACAAAATATTCCAGAGAAGTATTCTATGTATAGCGTTCGTGTGAGCTCGTGTGTCTGAAGCCAGCCAAATCACGTAAGTACTCCATAATGGAAAAGCTGATTAACCATTGTAAGTATCTCAGAAGCACATTTTAAGGTAAATCCTTGTAATATCCATGTGAAATGGTAGACTTAAGTCTCTAGAAAATGAGAAACAGAGGCCAGGAGTATGTAAGCGACTCAATCAACATCACAGAAGTTTCCATCAGGAACTGAGTCGCATCAGGGAACTTTTGGCTCCCCATCCCACACGCATGTCCTGGAGCACACTGTGCATCTTGTTCCAACCAGTGCTGAGCTGGATGGTCTCCAGCCACCATCCACAGGGCTAAAATGTAGCACTCAAAAATGATAGCAGCTGGTGCTTAATGGGAAAAGACGTGCTTGCATTGCTGACCTCAGTGTTGAGAAATTTATTTTATTTATTTATTTATTTATTTTGTAAAGTTTGGATATCTTATGGGACTTTCGTCCTAATGGAACGCAGGAAGGTGCATCACTGCACTGCTGGCAGTGGTGCCTGAATTTCAGTAGCTTGGCTGTGCAAGCGTGACGAGTTCAGCTGGATTCTGCTTGTTGTGCTTGCTGGGGAAGGGATACTTCACTGCAACACAGAAACCCAGTTACACCAGGAAGAGAAGGGGAGGACTGGGGAGTACGAGAGAGAAGGCACAGCTCTCTTCATCCCATTCCATGTACTCTCACAGATGTAAATGCCCAACTCTTCTCTTACATTTTTCTTTTCTGAATGTTTCTTCAGTTGACTTGTCTTTCTTCACTGTCCCAGCAAAGCCTGTTTCCTGTTATTCTGAGCAGTTTCTCCCATTAGGGAAGTTTCCCTATTTTTCCCTTTGGATTTTCTCGCTGTTGTCACTTTGTCCAAATGTGTGGGGTAACTGACTCCCTTTAAGATGCTTGTCACTGGCATCAGACACAAGGGCTATCTAGTTGACCTGTTTATTTGGGAGTGAGACAGTCCAAGGTAGACAGTTTGCACATTGCATAAAGCAACCACACAGAGACCACCCTTCCCTCTTCAGGTCAAGTTCATTCATGCCAACACTTTGTGGCCAGGACTCAAAATATAGAAGTCACATCAGTGCTGGAGGAACTTCAAAGGAACTGGACAGCATCCTTCATGCTAATTACACTGACAGATCTTTCCCATTCAGAAAGGAATGTCCCCAGTGTCACAGAGATCTGGACATGTGTACAGATGCCATATTGTTTCTACACAGTACATATATGGAAGCAGAAGTTGTTAGGGGAATGAAGAAGAAATGAATATTATCTTTTCACAGAGCTAATGGAACGTGCATCATTTAACTAACAAGTTAATCTTTTCTGAGTAAACAAATGATCTGGGCTCTGAGAATTTTTGTTTCCCTATTGATTTTTACCTTTAAGGTATAACCTATTTGTCTCTTGCAGTAAGAGTGGAAGGGCTACATTAGTGAGCTTGGTTAAAAATACTCCTTCTCACCAACTTAAGCAAGTCATGGTACATACTGTGATTGTTTCATTGCATCAGTGTGCATTAAGTCCTCTGTGCTCAGTGTTATATACATAAGCACACGTGTCAGCTTTCAGAGGCACTGAGCTGCTCCTAATTTCCACTGGGATTGCTGGGCTGCAGCACCTCTAAATAGCAGATCTCTATAGCCATCTTTTCATATACAAAATACCTCCTTTGATTCCAGCATCTGATTGCAGAACCTGAGCTGTATTCAGTGTTCAGCTCTTACAAACGATAGCTCGCGAGATACAACGGTGAGCAGAATCCTACCACACACCTCCAGTGGGAGGTTAAGACAGGAGACTGCCAATTACCCATATAAAGAAGTATCTGACACGCTCTAGGAAACCAGGGAGACTGCTATAAACTTATGTAATGAAAGCACTGCAGCTTTTATCTCTTCTTGGGGAAAACCCTGCTAATATCTAAAAAAATGAGGTCATTAACACCAATTAAGAGAAAGACAGAAATAATATTAATTAAGATAGCTCTTCTGGTACTTCACCTCAACAAGAATCCCTATACACAGTTTCCTGAGAAGGTTTTTTTTTTTTTGGAAAGCCATATTCATGAATCCAACAACTTGTGCAATTTTAGCATCGCTTGCTGTAGCTTTGCTAAACTGCTAAAAAGCAACCACCTCTCAGAACTAACACAGTGCTGTTGTCTATTAAAGTAACATGAAAAACAGAGTACTGTTGCTGCCTCCATACCACTTGTAAAAAGGAAGTCTTATTAGACTCGGATCGACATATGTAATACGGCAGCCTGAAGAAGGATTTCATTTGCTCTGTTTTTAAAGAGCTACTCAACTTTTTCAGACTATGGTGACATAAATATACAGTGGGTGAGGGTGGGGGTGGTTTGGGTGGGAGAAGGGGAGGATGGAGGAGGACAGGGTTTTATGCCAAGAGCTGAATCATAACCATGTGAGTAATTTTGAGTTTTTTTTCCTTAAGGGTATGAATCAAATTAAATTTGTTTTGCTGTGGGTGAAGGAAGAGAGAGAATATAATAGCATGAATCAGAGCTATCATCAAATATGTGGCACAGTCTAAAAATTAATTACAATTACTGCCGTCTTCTAAAAAGTTTCTGCCATAAGATGTAGCAATTTTGTTAATCAATATAATTCATTGAAAATATTCTCATGAGTAAAAATCTTTAGGTTACCTTCCTCTGCATTTTTTTTCCTATTGCAATAGAAAAATATTAAAATCTCTGGATAGAGATCTGTTAGATGCCCTTTTGCTCTGGCTGTTAGCAAACTGCTGCCAATAATGAAATGTAGTTATTAGACTCCATGTAATTTTGTCAGTTGGAGCTATCTTGAGGGTGAAAGCACATGGAAGACATGCTTCACTAGCACAGATACCCTGACATTCTAGTTAAGACAACCTATTTAACGAAAAATGCAAACAGAAAAACACTCAATATTCCTTTAATTGTTCTTTCCTGTGAGAGTGAGATGAAGTATTGGAAAATTGTGTGCTAGACACTGGAGGTTTTGCACTTTGGAATAATAACTGAAATACGTGATACGGAAAAATACGTAAGGGGCTCAGAATATAAAACCTCTTTCTAAAGAGGTCAGTATAGATACATGGGGGGAAAAACAACCAAGCATTATTAATTATTAGCTAGATAGATAACCAAGGACATATGTTTCTTTGTACTAAGTAAGAAACCACTGGTTCTGGTAACTAAAAAGTTAGAGAGACATTGCTTCCAAGCCTCTAGTATGGAGAAAACAGTATTTAATTCATTGTCTGAAAAACACTATAAACCCAAAGCAAGACATCATTTGGAATCAATTCCTCTCTCTAAACAACTCCAGATCTTTCCCATAGTAAGTCCTCTGCACGTGCCCAGCCAAAATCTGTGCGGAAAGGACTCATATTCAGTGTGCTGTGGAAGTCAGCTGACTGGTGAACCGTGAGCCTCAGGGACATGATTCCCAGAGGGACACAACGCTTGTTTCTGTGGAGAACTCTGCAGCTGCTGTGATGTCCCAGGGGTGCGTTGGGGGAAGGAAGAAAGCAGATCTCTTGGGGTTGGAAAAGACCTCCAAGATCACCTAGTCCAACTGCTCACCTATCACCAATATCGACCACTAAACCACATCCATAAGTATCACAACTATATGCTTCAGGAACACCTCCAGAGACGTCTGTGAACAACAAGTCAACACCCACTCAACAGCTTCTGCATCAGTTGAAGTTTCCCATTCTGTCTGGACAGTGTCTGAGGGGACAGGTTCTGGCCTGGTGCCTGCTGCCTCTGCCATACCCGTGTTAATGCCAACGTGCCAATCTGCTTCATTCCTGTCAGTATCTTCTAGAGTTCTTCAAGAACAGCCAAACTATCACAACTGAAACCCATGGTCACTTCAAAGACCTGATGGTCAGACAGAAGGCCCAAAAGTTTCGTGGCCAATGCCACATGACGGACGATTCCTTTGGCTCTCCTCCTGGACAGCCCTCGCTGACATGGTCAAACATTTGGTTTACCAGCCAGACTTCCTTGCTACATTGCCTCCCTTTTTCCACCATCACTCCGTACCTGGTTTCAACCAAGCCTCAGCCTGCTGCCAGGCAGTAGGAAAACCGGCCAACTGACTTGTGTCAGGTGAGAGAGGCACGTCTTCACATACAGGACATACATGTGGGGGGAACATAAAACTCAGAAGATGCTTTGCAATAAGACACCCAAGACTGAAAAGCTAGATCACTACAGCATCTGCTGGGATCACTCTGAAAACAGAGGTAGAAATTCTTCAATACGAGGTCTGAAGGCCTGCAAAAAGATTGGCACCACACCTTAGCCAACACTTATTGGTCTGGCAACATAATTGGCACATAAGAATTTTCATTACATTCACATTGTCACGGAAGGTCAATTCCCCCCTACCTCACCCTAGACAAAGAACACTGATATTCTGTAGTTATAGCTTTTACTTGCAATGAAGAATAACTACCAAATCCAATAAAATGCAAGTTCCCAGAAATAATGCTCTTATTCAAGAAAAAAAATATCTTTACCATATCTATGTTTCATCAGTAGTCACCTTTATTTATAACCAAACAACATAGATTACCAGTGAATTTTCTACGTCTCTGGTTAAATTATTTCTCAACCATTGTGCATAAACCAAACTCCTTCAACTCATGCTCATTCTTATTTTGGCACACAATGCCAGGTTTTTAGTAGGACGAATAACTTCTCTCCGGAGGATACATGCTGGTTGGTAAATTTAATTTCAACCCTTCCATACCAAATACTCACATTTTCTCGCACATTTTAGATGAGAAGCTTCAAAAATAAAAAGAACATGTTTCTTTGGCAAAAAACACTACAGGAATACAACTCAGCAGCTGCCTTCCCAGCCAATAAGCAGAGAGCTATCACATGCAGGTTAACAGAAATTTGTCCTATTTTTAATAACATAATGGCTTTGGTATAGCTTTGGTATAGCTCATGCCTTTCTTAAAGCTATGAAATTTTAAATATGTTTCTAGAAAAAGAAAGTATCTTTGCTATCTGCTGTTCTCAACTATTCAAAATGGAGTCTGCTACATAGCCACTTTGGCTACAAAAGCAGATGAAGGGGAGACAGTGATTTTAATTCCGTCTCTTTTCCCATCTAACTAGTGATAGGACTGGAGGGAATGCCTTCAAATTGCGCCAGGGGAGATTCAGGTTGGATGTCAGGAAAAACATTGGACTGGGTGATCTTAGAGGTCTTTTCCAACTTTGGTGATTCTGTGATTCTATGATTCTATGAATACAAATTCAGAAAAAAAATACACTGTAGTGTTTCACAAGATTATTAGGGGTTTATTGGAACACTGAAGATTTTTAACAGAAAAGCTCCTATAGTCAATGGCTTTAATTTAGTAGACAATATTACTAATACTTGTTTACTTCATTTGCTTAGGAGATGTTTCTGAAAGTAGTTACTGAAAACTGAAATTCTGTTTTGCTTTCAAAAAAAAAAAAAAAAAAAAAAAGTCACACATCCTGTACATTTCTAGAATTGCTGAAATAGTTCAACAAAATGTGATGAGAAATTCCATTTGAAAATGCCAATGCATGCAAATATGATTTGAAGTATGGGATGGCTTGATGAAAAAACTAAACACAAACATTTCTCCATGATTATATATTCTATTTCTACAGTCCTATGAAGGAAAGGTGTGGGAAGGCTGTGGAGGAGGAGGGGTGACTGAGAGGAAACTGCAGTTGTAATCAAGGGGATCATATACAACAAAAATTCTTTTGTTTGTTTGTTTGTTTTGCCTTCAGAACAGAAAATTCAGTACAAACATAGGTATACACTACTGCATGCCCTCTACAGCACCACATTTTTTCCTGCCTTGTTAATTCTATAAGGCAGTCCAGGACTACGAATTTTTCAGTGAACTCAGAATGGATGCACATGTGAGCATTTAAACAACCCTGTGATTCCTGAAACTTGTTATTTCAGAATTGTTTTAAGACATGTTCCAGGAGAGGTCTTAAAATAGAAGAGAAGCAACTCTGATCTTGTGCCTTATACACAGAGGAGGAGTTGACTGCATAGATTAGTGAAGCCATCACAGGCCAATTCATATGCGTACAATTGCTTCAACAACCCAGAAGTACATCCAGAACAGAGCCACAATAATAACAAACACAGAATTAATTTCCACCTTCTAAATTAGAAGGCAAATTTTATCACTGCTGGCCTGTAAGCTTCCTGGGGCAGGGAAGGTCTTGTCTGTCTCTCTTGTAGAGCATTAATCATGCTGCGGGTGCTTACAGCTAATAAGATGCATGTAAGTCTATTCTGATGTGGTTTCTGACACTTCAGACTATTGAAGAGTCACACACACACTCAGACATACTCTTACCTCCCTACCTAATGATACATTAATGTTCCTAATTTAAAATACAAGTCATGATAGGAACAGAAAGACTTTGTTTTTGTTTTCTGCCACCCAGACAGAGTCTGTGGCTATACATTGCAAATACTTGGCAAAAACTAAACCGCAAGTATGCAGCAGCACTGTGAGTAATAAAGATAATGTTTGTATTTTGTTTTTGAAGAGCCCTAACCAACACACGAAAGCAAGCGTACTGAAACTAAATAATACTCAGACCTTTAGAAGAACTTTTGAGGATCCAAATTATGCAATTTAAGCACTTTGTTCTTCAACAACCTAAACATCATGTAAAATTTACAAGCATTAACTCTGTGCAAGTTCTCCAGGCTGAAAAGCGGAATGTAGCCATTCTTTTCTACTCCAAATATTAAAGCTCAAACAAAAAGCTCTATTATTAATAAAAGGAAAAAAGTACCAAATTCTGTTGCCCCAAAAGTTGAGAAATACTACACTGCTAAGCATGCCAATACAGAATTCTTCACTGTGTAGAATCATGTGGAATGTACAGGTGTCCTGTAGTTACTTTGGTATGATGTATGCTGAGCAGTATCCATTTGGTATTGTGAGCAATATCCATTAACTTTGACAGCACATCAGTAATTCTGCATGGACTACAAAAATAATGGATAAGAAATATATTTGTTACTTTTCACAAAATAATGGTGTTGAAAAGACTTTCAAGCCAAAACAAAACACACAACCATAAAAACAGAAGGGGAGAGTTGCTGAGGTAAGACTTTCCTAAAAGACAAATTTCTCCTTTAGCTGTATATTGCATGCTAGATCAAAACTTTATTATTGACAAGCATGTTGCTTTTATTCAGAACAATTTAAATAAATTCTCTTTCCAGAACTACACTGTGCTCTTACTTGCCAAAAGCTGATGAAAAAGAACTTCACGTTGCATCCAAAATTATGCAGGTTCCCTTTCCTTCTCTTTATCCTTTATTCTTTATAAAGTAGCAGGCAGATCAGGAGTCCCTTTGTGCAAGTGGGCTCACTTGAGTCATGAGGAACACTGCTTCTGCTGCATCAGGGAACCCTGAAAGGAACCCTCTTTCCGGATAACCTTTCTAAATTCAGAATTTACAGGCTTTAGGAGGCAAAATTATAGCTCTCCCACAGTACAGTGGGGAGCAGTACATCAGTTCACTCATCCAACAACATATTTTGGACTTGCAAATGGGTTGTGTTTAAGAGTAACCAGAGGGGAGCAGAGTATTATGTGGTACAACCAGTTAACTAATAATAGTCACATCCTGCTTAGCAGGGTTGCATTTCTACTGTCCTGTTACCTCACTCTCAGCAACTATCAATGCTGAATTCCTTGACCATACACAATCAGAGGCATTTTGAGAGTACTCTGACTGGACGACAGATGGAAAGTCAAGGATCCAACTGGCTCCTCCCCACAGGGCACACAGGAGGCAGTTTGAACAGATGTGCATCACAGAGCATCCCTGAAAAATGTTGACCAGAACTGCCAACACAAATCTTACAAAGCAGTGAAGCAAAGCCAGGTCTGTAACACAGCTCTCTTGAAACCCCAGTGTGCCAAATGAGCCATCAAAAGAACCACCATTATCATCCCTACAAGAAATTGTCCAAGAAAACAGGGTTAGTCAGGCTCAGAGAACTCCAACCAGACTTCACCTACAAGAGAGATGTATATGGGGTCTTAATCCAAGCCTCAGCCAGCCTTCTCCAGCACTGAACTGAAATGCTTAGCTTTACCATTGTGGTCCTCTGCTCCGCCAAACAGCCCAGATCTCTAATGCAGATGCTGCCAGCCAAGCATCAAATCCAGAGTTTTCAAGTGCCCCAGATCTGCCCAGCAATCAGGCAATATACCAGGGACAACACTCACCCACTGATATCTGCCTGAACAGCCAGATCTCAGTTTTCAGAAAAAAATCACCATTTTACACCTTTACTGCTATGGCACACGACCATGGATAAAAATACGCTTTGGAAGAACCTCTTTGCTAACAAAAAATGACCACAAAGGATATCTTAAGATCCACTCCACATACACACAGGGAAAACAAACAAACATAAAACCCAGAAATCTTCATTTCCAAACGAAAAGCTCTCAAGCTAGACTAAATCTTCTCTAAGCCCAAGAGAGCTGGCTAGGAAAGGCTTAGAGAAAGAGCAGCGACTGCCTTATCCTCATGCTGTCTGCTCTGCAAAAATGATTTTAGAGACTGGGTTTGTCCAGTTTTTTTTTTTTACTGGTTTTCTCAGGGAGATTCTGGGCAAGAATGGCACTAGGAGATAACTGACTATCACCCCCATCACACAGGAAATTGTGAAGTGTTCCTGAAGATGTCCTGTCAGCCTGTGGATGGAGAAAAATGACCAGCATGTGGTGTGCGTGCACGCAATGAGTGTGAGAATGGTAAAGCAGCAACTGAAGATAGAAAATAAAGTTCCAGGAATAACTAACTGGTTTGCAAGAATGACTTCCCTGCTTTCCATCCCTAACCTTTCTTTTCTCTTATGCATCCACCCTCTTTTTTAAAGGGAGCCGTACCGCAACCACTGTTTCTATTAAATTCACAAACCAGAGCAGTTCTTTAAGGCATTTGGAACTATGTGCAATCCTTGAAACATCTGTCTGGCCAGTACTCTCAGAAGTGTCACCTTAGTAACTTTTCATCAAAGCTCTTCAAGATTCCTGTTTGCTCAACTGCCTGAAGGTTTCATTCACTGACCTCCATTGGGAAATCATGTGCAAACAGTTACTAAACCTTTCAAAAGCAGACAAAGAGCAACCAAAGAATCCTCTTCATGTGAAGGACATGATCACATCTGTCAGTGAGCATCCCCTCCCACCCAGTCCCCAAATCAATCCCTTTCACAAGTGAGATCCTCTGGTTAAGTCCTTCCTAAAGCCTAACCCCAAATTCAGGCAGATGTCACTGCATGTGCAGAACTGACACTTTGTTCCCACCTACACTGGTGCCCATAAAGGGTGTGCTGGATACAGGTCCAAAATCTATTCCTAAAGAAAGGCTGTGCACTTAGTTAGACCAAGAGATCTGTTTCCACCTTGCTGCCCCTTAACAGTCCTCCAGTGGTTCAGGAACAGCAAAATTTGGCAACAAGCACCTAGTAATTTTTGATTTCCTACAAGCTTCAGCTGTCCTGCATTTAAGTCCAGGACAGCCAACCACTTAATCACCTCCACAAATAAACTTTTCCAGAGCACACATCAGAATAAAAACATACTATAACAAACTTATTTTAAGATGTCTGCTTACTCTAGTCTGAGAGAAAAGTGGTGCTTGCACACTGAAGCTCAGCATTCATACCATTCACACAGTGGCTTTAAAAAAAATAAATTGAATGAGCAGGGAACTGCCATTCTGCAATACTGCATCTAGAGCAAACGCTGATCACTCTTACTTAGCAAACATCGAACGGGCTGCATGACACGGTTCTCAAAGAAATAAATCTTCATTTTTAGATTTTTTTAGTCTTAGCCAAAGAATGAACGATTAGGTTATTTTCTCATCTTAATAAATGATGCAAAAGCTCCAGACATATGGTAGCATTTGTGTACTTCCAGGCAAGCGATGATAGCTTTCAAATGTTACTTCCCCTCCTCCTCCTCCACTACATGAAACAAACACACTGCAGCCCATTTAAAACTTAGTGACACACACATTTAAGAGAAACTATTTCAGTACAAGTTACCAAATGCCAGATGCTTGTGTTAAGTAATTATATTAGGAAATAATGAGGAGATGAACATCACTATGGGTTGACAAAGTGCCTATGTTTACCATTAAAGTTAAAATAATTTTAAGAGGTAAAATTTCTGCTTAAATTAGCAAGGA